CTATTCAAAATAACAGTTAAATTTCTTACACACTTTAGGAATTTGACTTGGATGTCTGTTCTCTGTGGCAACATCAAGAATTTAATTGTTACAAACAAAGAACAATAAATTATCGGCTCCGTAAAGCTAACGCGATTGATCCTTACAAAGAAACGAATAGATAAAAAAAAAACTTTGAAATGAATGCACATACCAACATACTGGGTTCAGCAAAAACATGTAGTTTTACTTTGTTCACATTTGTCTAGAACAGTATTAACTTGAACAACTATTATTTAAAAACTTAAGGGGGTATTCCCAATCTTTTGCCTTTTTTCGGCCTGTTTTTCAATTAATTTTTTTCAAGGAAAATGAATAGTAATGCGCCTAACTCTTTGGGATTCTTGTTTATTGAACATTAAAGTTTACAAATAATTTTTTTTCGACATAAAAAAAGATATTATTGACGTCACAAAATGGCGGCAAACAGACCCCTGTTCGCCGCAAACGACTGGACGGGCGAAGACTTTTCTCTGGAACGGCTTCATCTGAAACAGATTTCGTGATGAAATTATAATCTGCATAAGATTCTCTGGAGCTTCTCCCGTTGGCTGCAAAAAATCTTGCAAATTAACAAAATGGCGGCCATATGAAAAAACAGGCGATTTTTAGCCCGCTTTTTTGCAGCTTTAAGGTGCTTCAAACAATGTTAAATGTTAATATTTTTGGCTGAAAGTGGGAGAAGCTCCAAACAATTTAATAAGGAACAAAATGCGCAAAGATTCAAGTCAATATCTCTTATAGTTTCTGAGAAAAATCTTCGCCCGATAAAAAAATGTGGTTTCGAGAAAAACGCGTATAAAGTTTTGACTTTAGTTAAAACCATTTTGGGGGTTCTTACCATTAGTCAGCTATGCCTGGACACCGAATTCGCTGATCGGAAAACGGCTTGGGGATGAAAGTATATAGTCTAAAGTACAAAAAAACGTGAAAAAAAAATTTGATTTTTTGAAAAAAAAAGATCGGGAATACCCCCTTAATAATTGTAACCTAATTTTAAAGGGGTCCATATCTACAAAACTTTATACCTAGATATATGGTATTTTGAACGAAATTTCGTATTATGAGTAGTTTTAAATCCTAATAGTATTTTACCTCATTAGGGGAAAAAGTCAGGTTTTTCATTTCTTTCATAGTAGGCATAGTATACTTCAGAGCAATTGTTCACATAAGTATTGCCCACAATTTGACATTAAAAAAAGGTATAACTGTGTGTTGCATTTTTGAAAATGTGAAATTGTATGCAATACTTTCAGTACAGTAAAAGGTACCTTCTGGAAGGAGAAAACTGCAATAATCTATCCGAAGCAGTGCTGTAAATTCACAAAATCAATTCAATATATTTGATGAAAACGAGAAAAGCATTCTCATTTGAGAAACGCTTTATATCATTCAATTGAGTGTAACCTACCCACAAACGGAACTCCGGTCGTCATTCCGCTGAAAAAGCTAAGCGTACGCAACTCCAACCTGACTTTTACGAGACTTCAACCCGACATTGCCGTGACATAAACCCGAAATTGGGTCGACATTGACCTCGAATTGGCTTTGCCTTGATCCGACATCGGGTCGACATGGGTTTTTTCCATACTCCACTGCCCGTATATCAATTGATAGTGAGTGACTCAATTGACAGTGATGATGAGGTTCGTTTGAATAAGTGGCTCTTCAAATTATGTGTGTTGTGAATGGCTTTTCAATTTCGACAAAATCAAAATACTGCTATTTTAATTTTTGTCCGCAACGTTGGCCAAAAAATAAAATAGCAGTATTTTGATTTTGTCGAGACTGAAAAGCCATTCACAACACATATCAATTCCCAGTCGAACCATACCAAATACTTCAAATTGGTGAATGGTTCGAATGATATGAAAATTAACAGCACTGATCCGAAAATCAACATACTTTTGGGGCAAGTCGGACGAAAATTTCAGAGACAGTTTAGAGAAACTTTTGGAGGAAGTCGGAAGACGCTTTCGATGCAAGTCAGTAGGACTCTTGGGGAAAGTCCGACGAAGCTTCCAGGATAAATTGCAAGAATTTCCCGGTAGCAGTCAGAATAAACTTCTGGAGGAAGTCTTGAAAAACCTAGTAGATGATGTCGGAAGAAGCCTCCAGAGCAAGCCAGAAGCACATCTGGCGGAAGTCAAACAAAACCTCCCTGAGAAGTTGGATGAATCATAATCAAACTGTAACTAGCTTTCTTGGGAAAATCAGAATAAAACTTCCGGGAGAAGTTGGAATGAACATTCAGGGGAGATCAGAAAAAAAAAATCCGATGAAGTCTGAAGAATCTTTTAAATAAAATCGGAAGAAACTTCTGGAGGTAGTTAAAAGAAGCTTCCGGTGGAAGCCAGAAGAACCGAGGATTTGAAAGAAAATACTTCTGCTGCATTTTGATATTACTTCAGGCATTTTCATTGGGGACTCTTGAGCAATAACTTTATATGTCGATATTTTTATGCAAAAGAATTGATTGAAAAAAGAACCATTATATTACAGCTAAAATGCTACTTTTCGATATTATGAAACTATAATACATCAAACAAATAGATTTTAGTTCAGCTTTATTATAGAGACTTTCAGTACCTGCTTCGTCCAATTGGGAAAAGAAAGTGGGAGCTTCTGAAGGGAGCCCCCATAGTTACCGAATTTTGAACGGTGGAGGTTCCAGTAGGGAACCTCCCTAGGTTCGAAGTTGGGGGTTTTTGATTTACAGAGATAAATACGAAGTTGCATCTAGGACGTAGTCTTGGTTCGTTGCAATGGTTCGTTAAACGGGTATACTAAAGTTGCTAGTTTTGCATTATAATAACAGCCTTTATATGCAAGATACAAGAAGAGGAAGTAAAATTTGTGTGTGACTCATAAAACTAGTCAATTTCACTTCAAGAGTTTCACAAACAGTGATTAGCTATTACGAAGAGTACTCACTCATCTCGATTACTCAATACAGCTAAAATAGCTTATTGTGACCATCAAACTTTACCTTCTCTTCTTGCATATTACATATGAAAATTATAATTACAATATCCCATAGTTTCATAATTTCGAAAAGTGGCATTTTAGTTGTAATGAGCATTTCCAAGCCTCAACCCACCAAACAATTTTCGCTGCAGACTAGCTTATACGAGAAAAAAAATAGTTATTTAAGCCAATTTTTAAGCTGTATAAGCTAATCTGCAGCAAAAATGGTTAGTTGGGAACAGAGCTGGTAAATATCACGGCCGTCATGTGACAATGAGAAAACAGGTCCTCTCTTTATTACGTGACGAAACTACCTATCACGATATTTCTTGTCATTTTCCAATGATCAAGCACTCATGAGAATAATTCTTATGTGGTTTTGACATCAACATTTCTAACTGACTTAGATGAATTTAAGCAAGTAACTGTATGTAAGCGGTAGAGTGAATACATTTTTAAGATTTTCTAGGTACAAGTAACTTTAATAGCAATAAATGAGCTAGATATTACGATGATCACAACGCTGTCACGTTCTGTCTTGACTAAAAATTCGATAAGATTTAAAAAAAAAATCTCTATCGTTGTTTTCTCATCCTATGATAGTGATAGAAGTATCTCTGTAAATATCACGTGAGATTTTTCATTGAAAATGAGATTTGCCAGCCCTGGTTGGGAAGCGCTGAAATTTACTCAAATGAAACACATTCAACCCACCCGTACTTGTTATTCAAGGAACCATCGAGCTAGAGAAGATATCAAGAATCGGAGGTTAATTATGGAAAGTTTTTTTTTGAAAAGCTCTGAATTTCCATCGAGATAGGAGAAATTGGGAAGTTCGAGTTAGGAATAAAATAGAGTAAGAAAGAGTTGACTGGAAAGTGCAGAAATTGACTCCTAATATCATTTGCCTTAAGGCTGTGGGGGGTTTGAACTCTAACCTCCCCTCGCTGCGCCAGGGGTAATTCATAGTTTATTTTATGTGCTTCCAATTTGTTTCATCGGGGTTTTGATAGGACTTGGTGGTGTCATATTTGTGAATTATTACAATTCCTTGCAGATAAATACTGCACATTTAATCATTTTAAAATACTTTACTGTAGAAAATTTAAAACAGTTGTGAAATCTTGAAATAAGATTATCTTAAACTTCCTATTCATTGATTTTTTTTATCGTTTTTGGGGTTGACCCCGGTGTAGTGGATAGCATCCTTATCTCTCACGCCAAAGTCATGAGTTCAAATCTCACCCCCGGACATGTCACAAATGATCCAAAAGTGTTAAAGTGACTATAATAATAAAAACAAAAGAGTTTTTTTTTAAATGTTATTTTTCAAAACTTCCAAATTTAAAATCGTTCGAAAGCTAAAAACGGTATCTCAATCTTGTATAATATAACTATCCCAAAGTTGACCTCTTAAGTTTCTCTTCTTCATGGCACTGAAAACCACTAAAATCATTGTATTAAAGGACTACGAGCTAAGCCGCATAAACTTTAATAACTTCCCTCCGTCATAATATCCACGAACGGAAGCAGTGCTGTACCTAAGACCGCAGTCACATCGAAAACCGTCACTGCTGTAAGCGAAGTATATAGGCTTAGGTACTGACCCCTCCCCCCCCTCCCTCATTTCCGTCCTAAAATGGTCAATTTATGTGATTGTGGCGCCTTTGACAGCAAAAGTCGCTTTGATAAACGAACCACACGAGCGTGAGCGACTGGGCGCTCGAATAGCATTAAAAAAAGGCATGAAAAGGAAACATGCGGCTAGCACTGCAACACACTGCCTATTGATGTAGATTACGTTTTAGATAAAATTAAATTGCCACCATTTACGACCGTTCGATAGCGCGCGCGAGCCTTCTGCAAGCTGAAACTGAAATTGATATTCACATTCAGCTGGTCGTTGCTGGTCCCGCTTTGTGTGAGGATTGTCGATTGAGACATTGTGAAAATTGCAGGCTCTACACAAAAAAAAAAAAAAATGATGTACTCACCGTCACGACTCATTCCCAGCTTTAGGCACTTTTGCAGTCGACAGTACTGACACCGATTCCGGTTGACTCGATCGACGACGCACTGCTTGTTCCGGGGGCACTGGTAGTTGACGACGGAGCTCTGCGAGCGCCGGAAGAAGCCCTTGCATCCCTCGCAGGTTATCACACCGTAATGGACGCCGGACGATTTGTCACCGCACACTTTGCAGGGGATGATTTCGATTTGCGCTGGAATTAGAAAAAAAAAATACAAATGGTCGTTAGTTAAATCTTTGAACTATTCACATTTCTCCCCGCCCGCTGAATGCCGAAAATGCCGCTGAGAGTTCGAACAACCCGAATCAAAACAAAATTCGCCAAAGTCAACGACCTGACATTGCCCGCTCACACGCGCCTCTTCAAGTCAAGACCAAAATTTGGAAACCGCGCGCTCATTCTCTCACTCACCTACGTCGCCCAAAGGGAAGAAGCGACGATCGTCAAAATATTCGCAGGAGCACTCGCGATCATCATCCATCATCTTTGTACCGCATGCAGGCTATCTACCTACCGGGCCGGGAGCTGTGAGACCCGTCCCGTCTTGATGATGCGCGAAAGCATCAGAATGCCAAAACCGGTATCATGACGAAACAATCATTCGCAGCGAATTTCGGTGCGAACACGAAAGAAAAGGAGCAAAATCGAAAGAGAGAACCACCTAAAAATAAAATGCAAGACAACGTTCTGAGTTGAACCCGCGATCACGACGACGACGACGGCAATCGCGAAAAAAAGCGACGCGCGCGTCCGGGAGTTCGTTGATCTTTTGGACGTTGTGGCTACGGCTGTGGTTCAGGTTTTCGTAGGTCCGGGGCGTCAATGTCCGAAAGTTCGTGTTGATGATGATGACGACGAACACAAGCCAAGAACTTGTACAATTTGAAGCATGTTCTTGGGAACGATCGCGACCAGCTGTGTTGGAGGGACGTATCGGTGGATGATGTGAGTGCCATTTTTGTACTCGCAATTGTGGCATATTTTCCGTTTACATATTCGGTCGGTTATTATCACATTGCCCGTCCGGGTCTGTTGCCTGGCGGTCGTTAAAATATAATTCTGGAAAGTTCGGTATTTTGATGAGTTTGCGGAAGGTAGCTGCATACGAAACTTTGTTCTGCAGAGGTTGTCTGGATTTTATGCGAAAAGTAAAAAGGAAGCTGCTTGATTGTTTTTGAATCGATTAATGGGGATCGCGTTTTTGGCGTTCGTTCGAGTGGCGGGGGAAGTGGCACTTACTGTGAAGTGCTTGTAATTGGTTGTGTAATGACGGCGATGCCGACGCTGGACGGATGTTCTTGGAATTCAGGGGGGAAAATGCTGAATGTCAGCTCGTCTGTGAGCCATTTGATGTTTTTTTTTGTATATTTGAAGCGCTTTTATGTTTCCGATATTTAGTTTAATTATCTGACCATTTTGAGAAAATCGGTTTAGCTACTTATGAAAAGACAACTACCAGAGAGAATTTAGATTTGAGAAGAAAAAAAATGTGATATTCATAGGTTCATTATAATACTTCCATAGGGAATTTAAACGACTTACTAGAGAAATTTGGAAATCTTACAAACAACTTCCAGAGTTCCAGAAGAGCTTGGATAACTTCCTGGGAAAATTTGGAAAACTTTCAGAGGGATGCTAAAAATGTATAGTGCTGCTGTCCAGCTTATTTTTATGATGATGTAGTTTCAGAAACCTTTTGTTTTTCACTGCATCCATGATCAAACGAGATGAGCAATAAACAGTTTAATCACAAATTCATCAAACGCGGCAACTGAAAATGAAACGATTTAAAGTGACAAATAAATAAATTTAATGCCATCAATTATACCACCTCGTCCTCACTCAGCTCTTCAGCGTGCCACCTAAAATCACAAAGTATCCTCCCCCACCGCAAATGAGTCAAATTTGTTTTGCGCATCTCCTTCACTGAGCACAATAGTTGACTCACCAAAATGCTTCGAGTCGCATCGGGCGACAGAATCACCCCCACTCGTTTTCAACTGACAGCAGTGTGTCCTTTCTTGAACTTTCGTCTTAAGCTCCAATAAAATTCCAATCCCAATTTGCAATCAAAGTCGAATCAACAGCGCTGAGATTTTCCTTATCGTAGGTCATGGCGAGGGCGATGAATCAGATGTCATCGCCGTTGTCGTCGTCGTCGTCGGGGTAATATCGCGATCAGCAGTTCAAAGCACTGAACTGACTGTACCCCCGCGCAGTGCAAACGTTGCAGCGCCCGTTTCCACGGAACTCTACTGGAATTACGTTGAGTTCACACTGAAAGTGTATAACATTCAGAGTCAATGCAAAATAATCGCACTTTGCCGGCTTTGATGCAATCCGAGCAGTGACGAAATGTAGATGACGAAGGGCGTGGTGAAGGAAAGCGCGAGGAGGTTGTCATCGTCGGTCGGTCCCTGCTGCTGCTGCTGGTGCTATATAGTAAGAGAGCGCGACGTCGTCGCGAGCCGAGTTGCACGTTGCAATCGTGCTTACTGTGGCTATTGTTGTTTGTTGTTCTGAGGATTGAGTGGTGTTCGTTCGTGCTTTTAAATTTATTGTACTATATATGCAAATAATATGTTTATTGCAGAAAATAGCACTTTTGTACGGTACGTGTGTACCTCGTGGCCAAGTGTCGATGAACCCCTCGCGCTGGAAGAGGAAAAGGGTTGAAGTGATGGGCATTTATTTAGAAGATGAAATGCATTCCTTCCGATTATTTGGTCTGCTCTCAGCGCTAGGTTCATGAAGATCATCGATTGGACCGATAATCGAATCTGCCACTCCAAGGAAGCTCTAGTAACCAGTGAGCCCGCTAATTAGTTTTTTTGCTAATATTGCAATGAAATTGATCTATGGGGCTGCCCCCATTTCACGTGAACAGTTTTTAAAAGGTTTTAGCCCCCCTCCTGTCCCTGCGTGGACAATCATGGATGATTAAAATCCACATAAAATAAATAGTCAAAAATAAATGAATTTCCGTTTTTACCTCTCAGAATAGCATGACACAGTTTTATCACAGACAAACAGACATAGCACTCACATCCTTTTCATCGAAAAACTAATTAACAGACAATTTAAAGTTCTCTTGGTTTGTAGCGTCGCCACCTATGGCGCTCATACACACTTAGAAAAATTCATGTAAATTTAGGTGTTCTGGGACTGACATATACGAGCGTCAATTTTGACACAAATTTGAGTCATAACAGACGCGAAATATAGCTTAATCAAACGTACTTTTCGTCGAGCAACGAACTTTTCAGTCTCGGAGCACTTAATTTTACATGACATGTTTGTTTACGTCTCATCTTTTATGTCAAAGATGGATTCCGTCACTTATAAAATTACTTATTTCTAAGTGTGTAGTCAACAACGCCAAACACGTTTAAGGCAATCCAGTTTCCAACAACTTTGTCTCAGACATCATTTGGATTAGACGAGCCATTTTCGTGCAATGCAGGGTGGTCAATAAATTTTCTTTTTGAAATGCTCGGTTTTTCCGGTTTTCCCGGGTCAAATCTAAAAAACCCGGTTTATGCATTTTTCACCAAAATACATCGCTGAATGTATTCAAACGATACCTTCCTGGATTCCTTAGTATTCCAGCGTCAATCAAATTAGACTGAGCAATCGTATTTTTCTTAAAATGAAATATATGCAGTACAAAATGCGGCTGATTTCGAGGTGCCGATAATAGAATAGCAGTTTAACAAGCAGTTCAAATGGAAAGGTGGCCGAAAACAAGAGGGTTGTCAGCAATAAAGATTATACTCGAAAAAAAATGCAACACTTTCTTTTGTGTATTACTTTTTATTGCATGGGAAAAAAATGATAAAATTTTGAGTAAAACTAGTTTAGAGTGTAATGTTTACATGTGCAAAATCTCGTCACAATCTGTCAAGTGGTTATCGAGATGGCTTACAAGCAAGAAGTGCTTCAACCAAAAAATTATGGGAGCGGTTGTGGAAAATCCAGGCCAGTCCCACAGGTGGATCGCGAAACAGTTTGGAATCGACAGTTCGACCGTGCCCTGTGTGATAAAATCGTTTAAAGAGACCCAGACGACCCAGTGGCGAGCTGGCAGCAGAAGAAAAGCGAAGACGACCGACCCCGTTAACGCAAGGAAGGTGAGGAATTACTTCAAGCGCAATCCGAACTTTTCGATTCGGGACGTGGCCATGAAGGTCAATTCTTCCGTCTGGTTCGTCCATCAGACAATGAAGCGGGCCGGACTTCATGTTTTCTAGGTAAGGAAGGCGCCTAACCGAACCGATAAACAGAATACGGTGGCCAAATCCCGCGCCAGGAAGCTGTACCGGGAGGTGTTGGTGCAGCCAAAATGCATCGTCATGGACGACGAGACGTACATGAAAGCGGACGCCGAGCAGATCCCTGGCCTGGAGTTTTTCGTCGGCAAGTCCCGTCTGGATGTTCCGGAGAAGTTTCGGAAGAAGAAGGTCGACAAATTTGCCAAGAAGTACTTAGTGTACTCAGCAAGCCACAAAGATGACAATCTGTTTTGGCCAGATCTGGCATCGTGCCATTACGCGAAACCGGTGATGGAGTGGTACGAAGCCAACGATGTTGTTTTTGTGCCGAAGGAGGCAAATCCGCCAAACTCGTCAGAACTTCACCCAATAGAAAAATACTGGACGATTATGAAGGGCAAGCTCCGGAAAACAGGGAAGGTCTTCAAAAACGACAAGGATTTGAAGAAAGAGTGGATGAAAGTGTGTAATAATGGTCATGGAGGTGGTAATAACTATGGACACGGAGGTCATGGAGGACACGGCAACGAACATGGAAATGGCCACCATAAAGGTTAAACCAAAGAATCTGTGAAAAAAACAGAACTGCTAACTACTTCTTGAGTTATTTATTGCAATAAATTAAATGATTTTTTTAACCGAATTTGAAGTTTTCATTGTTGTTTAGACATACTACGCTTCTGATGTACCGAAAAAAAAGTGGAAAAGACTATATCTTTAATTAAGTAGTTATGATTTGCCGTTTGGTTGGAAGATGCAGGTTTAAATGTTCATGAAATAACAACCAAATTCTTTCTTATATCACAGTTCCAAGTGTTTAAAAAAATCCACGGAGCTCTACACACTTAGATTATTTTACCGAAATCTGTGAATTTTTACCGAAATCTCAACAGCTGAACGTTCGGTAAACAGTTCGGTGATTTTTCACAGATTTCCTGTAATTTTTCACCGAATATCTGTGAATACAGGAAATCTGTGAAAAATCACCGAACTGTTTACCGAACGTTCAGCTGTTTAGATTTCGGTAAAATTTCACAGATTTCGGTAAAATAATCTAAGTGTGTAGGATCAGTTTCATGGATGGACCACTATTACAGTTTCATGGATGGACCACGAATTTTACGGAGGAAGGTCATTCGGATTCATGTTTATTTTACGACCCAAATATATTACAGTTCTTAATGTTTTCAAAAAAAAACCACGAAGCTCTGCATGGGATCTTCCGGAGGACCGTTCCGTTGTCTCCAGGATCCATATAGGAACCATGACTATTTTCTGGCTAATTATGAACATTTTTTCCCACTAATCTAAATTCTTAAGCCACTTGTAAAACCCATAGGGTAGAGCGCTACTTCGTCGTAATCGTCCATTTCCGTTCTATCGAGCAGAAAACATCAGTAAAATCAATGATTTCACCGTGCACAAACCAGTAATACATTTGTACCGATGCGTTAGTTCACAAGCTACAACACAAATCCTATTAGAGCGTATTGTATGAATATTTTTACTCATTGTTCTCAAAACAAAAGAAGCGATCCTAGTGAACTCGCTTTTTCTACCTTCATCCGTAGGATGAAGAAAATCCAATGGCGTTTCAATGCGTTTGGACGGAATTGAAACTCGTAAGACAAATTTGGAATCAAGAAGCAGTGTTAGATTTTTAACAATATCTCAACAATGTGTGGCTCTTTATCAAATTCAACGGTATTTATGGATAGGGGAATAAATTTAGAAGTCATATTTGATAGAAATATTTCATTTATTGCTAAAACCGTTCAAGAAAGAGAGGTTAAGCGTGGGTTGTGCTTAGTAGGATGGAAATTAGATCAAAACCCCTAATCACTCATAACTCTATTTTCAATCTCTTTACAATGAGAATAATCTTCCGACTCTTAGGAATTCTATGCATCGTATTCGGAGTGTTAATTAAGGTCTAAATCGCGAACTCCTCAAATGGGGTTCGAAATCGTTAAGCGTTTTTATCTTTTTAATTAAGGCTTAAATTGCAATTTTTTTATCGTAAATATTTTTTTCAGAATTTTTTGTAATAGAAATAAAGACGCGATAAAGTTCGCTTTTTTTTCATTTTAGGTACAAATATACACACTAAGAAAAATTCATGTAAAATTAGGTGCTCTGACAGTGACATATACGAGCGTCAATTTTTACATAAATTTGAGTCATAACAGACGTGAAATATAGCTTAATCAAATGATCTTTTCGTCGAGCCACGAATGTTTCAATCTCGGAGCTCTCAATAATACATTAGATGTTTGTTTATGTAAAAGATGAATTCCATCACGTGTAAAATTTGTTATTTGTAAGTGTACCATTCCATATCAAAACGATATAGTGGTTCTCAGAATTTTGTTAAAATTGGCAGTTTCTTATTGAAAAATATCAGACCCGTATTTTATTATTTTGTCATTAGAGTGACCATTTCCATGTTAGAGTGATAATTAACAATATTTTTTAGGAAAAATATAATGATATTAAAAAAAATAGATTTTGCATTGAAAAACATCGATTGTATCAAGGGGTCATTCACTCGGCACAGCTGCTTTTGTATTAACGCTGTTATCAGTGTGCCGTAGTTTGCCGCATTGTGCCGGTACTGTGCCGAACGAGTATATTTGTGCCCTGATTTGTGCCTTTATGTATTTGAAGTGTATGAGTGGTCAAGTACAAATTGATCTGGTATATCTGGCAACAGTGCTTCTGTGATTCTGACAGCTGTTTATTTACTAGGTACTAAAGAGCCTGAATTTATAAAGAGACGATATGTCAAAATTGGAACAATCGATTATTTGTCAAAGTCATAGGAAAAGTCATTCCAATCGAGCAGAAGACCTGTCAAATGGATAAGATGTCGCCTCTTTATAAATTCAGGCTCTTTACTAGGTACAAATTCGCTTCGAGATTCGCTCCTGTGGTGGAAAACGTCGGCCTTTAATCTCGTCAAGGAAGTGCAACCTTTTTATTTTTCTATAATCGTACGTACCAAGGTTCAACAGGTTTGTTCATTCTGATTATTGGCTCTGTTCAGCTTATCCGTGTATTTTTATCTAGATTTTCTTACGAATTTCTTCATACAGCTGCAGCACACAGAGCTTCTGTAAAGCAACGGCGGAGACAACAAAAGCAATCGGGCTTCGATCCACAACTTCAGCACCGGAGCAAACTTTTCGGTTGAAAGTCGTTGCTGGAGAATTACCTCTGGATATCTTCTGATTTTAAATTGACTCACTACTTGACTAGCCTATTGGTCCCAAGCAAATCGACTAACGTACCCCTTTCTAGTATAAATTCCAGTACTACACAATGTTTGTTTTGATTCGCTATGAAAGTTGGACAGATAAAATGAGGGGTTATTGGATTTTCCTATGTTTCGAGGGGTGAATCGATTAGCTTGGGACCGAAGATAGTACCAGAGCTGAACCAAAAAGTTGAGCACGTTTCTTCGGGACCTTCTAGTCTTAAGGCCGGCGGACAATAGATACGTTTTCAGGTTTTTTGACAGTTAGCCCATGCATTATTTGTCAAAAAAAAAACCCGAAAACGTATGCATTGTGCGCCGGCCTTTAGAGTTACCTCTATGGTGTTAGTCTTTTTAATAGAGCTAATAAACTATAGAGGAAGAATAGCGCTGCCGTCGCTGTTGAAACATCTTTTCCTTACATCTAATAGGGACACAACTGTCAAAGCGAGAAAAAAACTATGCAGTTTGACAGGTCTGTACCCGCACGGAGATGAAAAACTACCCAAAATTAAGTACTTTTCCCCCAATTCCGGGGTTCAACCCAATAACCCAAATTTGAGTAAATCGCATATAGTATACACCAAATTTAAGTTTTCAATATCAGTAAAACGGATTGCTGGATCATGACCAGCAATCCAATGCTTAACTGAAAAACAGCAAACGATATTTTACTGAAAACATCAGCTAACATAAACTTTCCATTTAACACCAGCAAAAAAAATTACCTACTCTTAAGTATATTCTACCCAAAATTAAATTTAATTCACGTAAATTAGAGAATATTCATTTTGCGCAAAAGTAACTTATTGCGCTGAACTATATCGTTGGGTCGAATCTCTTGCTCCTTTGTTGACAACAATAACGAGTGCAAGTGAGAGGCTGAAGTCAATATTAAGTAAAAAGAACTCAAATTTTGGGTAGTATTTTTTCTCCGTGCGGTACTATTCAACATCGGAACAAACGGAACACCAGTGCTATACTTCCTCTATAGTATATTAGCTCTATTGTCTTTTCAGATCCAAGCGTGCATTAGCGGAGCGTAGCGAAATTTACGTTGGCATGAAAAGGATATCTAGAACTTTTCTCCAATCTCTAATCACCAAAATGAATGGGAGAAAAGTAGGGGAAAAGTTGGCTTCGACAATACCTTAACCTATTATCGTCAGGGGGGTAAACAACGTCCTTGAGAGCTCAATTTTGGCATGTGGATACATTGTGTTTCAGAGCAACTATTGGCTAAATTTGAGTGCTCTAGGACTTTGTTTACCCCCTGACGATAATAGGTAAAGGTATTGCCGAAGCCGAAATTTCCCCTACTAGATATCTTTCTCATGCCAACGCAAATTTTACTCAGCTTTGCTAATGCACACTCAGATGCGTATACACCATAAAGGATCTTATGTGCATGCAGATCTCGCATGTCATATAGTACGTATTCACGCAAAAGTTCATCCATACAGTCAGGAGAAATGGAATAATCCGATTGTCATTTCTTATTATGCCGGCAAAAACAACTTTTATCTTTATGTAACAGGCATCCGATTTTTGGTTAACGGTTGATGGGCTGCCAACCGGTCGCAGCTCACCTCTGTGCGAAAGGTTGGGATGCGATCGTACGTCGAAGGTGGGTTTCTACAATTTTGTAAACATAACAAATGTGACGCATACTTTTCGAATGGTTCGTGTATATATAAACTGGCTGGCGCCTGCTTAAAAGGATCAGTTTCGAAGTACAATTGACACGGTGCGGAAGAGTTGGTTTGCATTTGTGAAACATGAAGATATTAATTTGTGGAGCGCTGGTCTTCAGTGCCTTACTGGCATTGGGTAAGGCTTTGCCGGCGGAGGAAAGTGAACCGCAGATGATCGAAGATGGACCTGCTGTGGATCGAGTTAAGCGACAGGGTCTGTTGGGAGCATTGCTAGGAGTAGGCCAAGGAGGTCTGGGTGCACCTGGCTATGGAGGTTACGGAGGATACGGAGGACAAAGTGGATATGGAGGATATGGGGGACACGGAGGACAAGGGGGATATGGAGGACATGGTGGACATGGAGGACAAGGTGGATATGGTGGACATGGTGGACACGGAGGACAAGGTGGATATGGTGGATATGGTGGACATGGCAATCAAGGTGGTTACGGTGGTCATGGAAATCAAGGTGGTTACGGTGGTCATGGAAATCAAGGTGGTTACGGTGGTCATGGAGGACATGGCAATGGATACGGACACGGACACGGAGGTCACGGAAGTAATGGTGGACATGGCTACGAGCATGGACATGGACATCATGGAGGTTAAACCAAAGAATCTCAAATGTAACCTGATTAGAAAAGTAGCTCTAATGTAAATGTAATAAACGCGTTGAATGTTGTGCCAAAACTTATTATCTTTTATCACAAAATGATGGAACCAAAAGTGTCGGAATCCAAAGATAAATCCGATGAAAGATGAATCCGCTTTAAAACGTTGAAGTTGCGACTCGCGTAGACCACCGTTAATTCGAACAGTTATAACACAGACAAACAGTCGTAATTCGCTTTTCTGACAACAAATTGTACAAGGAATTATTTAAAATTCCAGAAAGTCCACACGGTTAAAAACAAGTACTCAAAAATAAGTTCTTTTCACTCATCTCGGCACTATAGTGCAGGAACCCAATAGTAGGTAAAGCGGGTCAAAGTAATTTTCATTTACTTGTGTGCAATTCGTATGGAATATTCCACTAGCTTTCAATCCAAAAGTAAGTCAGTTGTACCAAACAGAAGGTAAATTTGATTACACTCAACGTTGGGGTCCCACACTTTACTACCCCTGTTGGGTGGTTTTGACCTCCGGTTGTTGACAACATTAGAAGGAGAAAAGGAGACAAACTAGTTAAAAGTAGGTAAAAGTAAACTGGCCGTTGGGTACTTTTTTACTGACAGAATTGCAATGGAAACTGAATCAAACGCCTCCTTAATTTCCAAGAATACTGAAGCGTTTCCCTAATAAACAAATACCATAAACGAACTATATCCCGGATGGGTGAACTATCCCACAAATGGTTTGGATGATACCCCAAACACGTCGTTAAGCTCTCTTTTATGGGTATTTTTATTAGGGTTACGTTTTATTTTTCATAGTTCATTGTAACAGCTATACATTAGTAGGTATTATGCTTATTGGCAAATCAAAGTTGGCACTCGTGGAGAATAGAAGAACTATGAGAGTGATGATGGTTTCAAAATTTTACGTGGTGAGGTATACGAGTGCAATCTTTAAATGCTTTTATTTTGCAAATGAAGCATTTTATTTAATTCTGGTTGCTGCTACAGTGATAGAACCCAACTATTGGGTTGGTTTGGGTCATGGTGTTGTGTTCCCTATTTTATTTAACTCTTTTTCGCTCTCAGATCGCAGCGTTTCACTTTCCCCCTCCCCCAAACTATTATGGGTGAAAAAGAGAACCCATATTTGGTGACCTCACGCGAGCGCAATTCAAAAGATGTTAATAACAAACTAATCTAGAACTGGGCTCAAACATATCGCATTTTCTAAGACTGGTCATGATTTATATAGTATGCATAATGAGAATTGTATGAAGAAAAGACGATTCCAGAAGAATAATTCCCTAGGCAAAAAAACTATTACTCTGTGCTAAACTGAGTTATTTCAAAATGGGAATCCACAAACAACAGACTCAGAAACTATACCCGATCTCAACAAACTGTACCGAAATCAAAACAGTATTAAGCTACTTTATATCGAGCTCTTTTCAATAATTGCAACATGTGAATAATGCAGAACAAGTTTAAATTTGTTCTAGAGCCAAATTGGTTTTGAAAGGAAGGCCAACCTGCAGCCGCTCTGAACCCTTCAAGCACAAACGAAGTGACAAATGGAGCGGCTTGAAAACTTTGGTGACCAGGTCATAGTAATTCTATCTACCATCCATCAGGTCAAGGTAATTCTATCTACCATCCATCAGTTCATGGTAATTCTATCTACCATCCATCAGGTCATGGTCATTCTATCTACCATCCATCAGGTCATGGTCATTCTATCTACCATCCATCAGTTCATGGCAATTTTTTCAAAATAATTCTTCAGTTCTTTAGTCATTCCACTATACTTACACTATCGTAACAGAAGCATGGAGAGTGTAGTGGAGAAAGTATAGGTCTGATAATCACAACGTTCGTGGTACGAGTCCAGTCGGCAATCTGTTTACATACGAACTATCACGCTTCACGCTCACTTGATTCTACTCATTATTTATTCACCACTAACTCTATCATTTAGCTGATATGTGTTTTTTTTTATTTCCTGAGAGTTTCAAAATTATCCGACTTGAAATGAATTTTTTTGTTCATTCATTTATTTGATAAGGCTCAACCGAATTAACTTTACAGAGCCGAGGATTCTTGGTCACTATACAATACATCTTAAAACTATAGTCAAAAGTTACAACACAATAAACACTTTATCTTCCTAACTTGAAATGAAGTGTTGGTGATTATTTTTGACTGTTGAATTTTTTTTTCGAGTACAGTCTTTAGTCACACTCAATGGAGAAGTTTTTAGCGTTGTAAAAACGTTTTCAAACAGTTTTAGGTAATGCTGGCGATTGGAATGGATAGAGCAGATAGAACGCTATCGAGCTGAATGGGTCATTACACCAATTTGTAAAGGGCGAGAGACTGAATTAAGACATTGTTTAGGAAATCTTTAACTTGACACAAATAAGATCTAAGGAAATTTGTTGAAGATCTTGGAGTAAAAAAATGATAGAACACAACAGAAATCTTAAAAATATGGCTTTTAGATTTGTTAGGAGTATTAGACTATGATTGTTTTTTTTTTTTTATTTATTAAGGGGTTACGCCTACCTGCAAATTTTCAAAAAATCGTTTTTTTTTATTGTCCTAATCCTAATCGAATAATAGAATAAAGTCAAGAATATTTCCTCAAAAGATCAAGTTGATCCGATGAAAATTGTGAAAGTTATGCGACGTACAAAAATATTCACTTATAGTGGACTAAACCCAACTTGAAACTTTAAACGCGATTATCTCGGAATCATATTTTCAAAACCGGTGTCAAAAATTTCTCGAAATGTATACATTCGATTCGTCTGATTCGTTTTGATTTCTGTTCAGTACTATTTTGTGCAGTCCACGATCCTTCGGATTTCGTCTATCATTTAATTTCGATTTTTTACAGCCGATCAAAGACAAATTTTAAGGATCAAAAATCGGCACTTCAACTTTGCAAGGCCGCCATTTTGTCAAAAAAATTAAAAAAAAAAAAACCGAACGATCAAAGACTAGTTTAACACATGCTTAACGATTTGGCATGGTTTTTTTTTTATTTCAGATGATTACATCACAAACCACAGTTGGCACCGCAAAAAGCGTTTTTTAGAACATCGTCCACGGGGAGCAGCCGTGCACCAGGACCTCGTTTTTACAGCATCGACTGATAAATGTACCATTTAATGTGTGTTCAATAAACGGCAGAAACCCGATTTTCAATATGTTGCGTCGTTTTCGAGAAAAAAAAAATCCAAACTTTCGCTTTTTTTCGGTCTTGCGGGTAGGCTTAACCCCTTAAGTATTTGTAAAAACGATAAGGTTTATCAAGCAATCAATCAATCAATCAAAAATTATTGGATTTATTTTAAATATAGGATTGGGAAAACTAAAACCACGCCAATTTAGAATCGGATGTATCTCATAATTGGTTTAGCTTGTAATAAAACGCTATTTGAAGAAAATGTTATGTATTTATTGTAGTTTAAAGATAAAATGTGGGTTTTGTGATTTTTATTCCTCTCGATTAAAAATTTGAACTTTGGGCTTGCTACGTGCCATCAACTTCTGCACAAGCTGCTTGTCAACCTCACCGGCTGCTTTTTTCCAGTATATTGCAATTGCGTATATTCCAAACTGTATTGCGAACAGCACCGAGTTTGATGGCCATATCCTCATCCGAAAGTCCTGAATTCGCTTTGAAAGCCTTCATGACGTTCTGACGCAGTTTCTGGTCTACTATACCGCTTCGATGCCTTGATTTCACCTTTTGGGAAATAGACAAACTTTCTTTGAAACGTTTCAACGCTGCACAGAGGGTGGTTTTAGCCATTTTCAACTCCTTTGTGGTCCGCGTACCCGACCATGTCGGGTTTTCATATCTTATGTGCAGAATGAATTCTCTCCTTTTTGCTTCCATCACGTGGCGATTCAAGAAAACATACTTTTAAAAAAATTTGCACGGGTTTTCAATAGAAAGACATTTTAAACTAGCTTCTGTCAAAAGATTCCAGAACCAACCATTAGGAGCACTGTATTGGACATAAAGAAGCGTACCGGAGCAAAGCTGGAGATCAAATTGAAATCAAAATTTGCTGTTACGATGTAAATTATTTTGAATACTCCAGTTGATCCGGCAAAGACGAGAGCAAAATTTTACACTGTTAAATCAAACGGACAACTAATTCTGCTTTCAATGAAATCAATTTGATTACTGATTTTGCATTCATAATGTTTAACTGAATATGGGCCTGGTGTAAATGGAAAGCATTCATGCGTCTCACGCTGAAAGACTTGAGCTCAAATCTCACCCCGGGTAAGTCACGAATTACCTAACAAAATAAATAAACAATAATCGTTAGTTCAACGACAGATGAACTTAAATTAAATTTTAAACAAGACGTTTACAGCAGAATATCATGTTAAGTTGCTTTCATTTAAAAAGTCTTGACTGTAAAATGAAAGCACAATATGATATCAGACTTCTGTCGCAAAAATTGAAATCAAAATTAGTTTCATTATGATATGAACTTCAAACTTTAATATCAATTTGCTTTTATTTTGCTAACCGACTTTGCTCGGGTACCGATTCTAAATTGCCAGGGCTTTACTCAAAATGTAGAATATGCTAAAAGTTTACAAGATCATAGATTAATTAAAACATTTTTTTGATCATGGATAGTTTTCAAGGCTCTGCAATTTGAATGAATGTTCAGGGCTCCAGCAATTTAAAATAAAATTATTATAGAATTCTGAGGAGAATTCATAAGGATTTTTAGGAGACTTTAAAAGGCATTAAATTCAAGATAAATGCTCTGAAGAAAAACTTCAAAATTCTGGCCAACACCCTAAGAGAGTTCTGACCAGAATTTCAAGATAATTATGAAATAATTTCCTGAGGAATTCTGAAATGAATTCCAATGAATGTATGGGGGAAGAAAAAAAGTTCTATTTTTTATCATAGAGAAGCCGAAGGCTAGTTCATCTCTTAGTTCTGAATTTATTTCCTAGGTAATTCTTAAAATAGCTCCATGGGAGTTGTGAAAATAATAAGAAGAATTCCTATGTGATTCTGAGTAGAA